GTGGGGAAAACACTTCTTTCCCTCCTCCCCCATAGCCTTTCCTTTCTTCCTGACTCGTTCTCAATTTTCTTCAGTCATTCTTATCTTTTTTTCAAAATTAATACTACCTTCATTCTATATCTGTTGGCTATAATATGTGATGGTAATCCACAATGCTACCACAGGTACAAATGACATGGCTTCTAAATCTATGGGATGAGTGGCAACAGTTTATGAAGTTAATGGCATATGTTAAGAACCACTTCTTGGTAATTTCCGGTAATCTGCAATTAAAATGTGTAATTATGTCTGAGACTTCTGTTTACCTATTCTTGCACGCATGCATGCATATATATATATGTTCAGTTAATATTACAAACTGCTGTAAATATTGGCCACACATGATCCTCTGGTAGCTATAATAAATTGCTGTTCCCTGTTCTTGACTCATGACTCAAATAACATATCTTGTTGGGGGCAATTTTGAGAGCTTGTGGTGATGCTACCTGATGGTGGGAGTGTGCAGCAGCAGAATTTTTCAGGATCAAGAACTGGATTTGCTGCTGTTAGGTGAGGATATAGTGGCTGGGGCATGTATTGGGGAAATCCCATGCTGAATTTATAGTTCTGTATTAATTTTTTTTCAACTTGCGACAAGCAGCTATGATACATCTTTTAAAATATTCAGATACTGTGGAGTTGTGTCCCAAAAAGAACAACATGGGCAGCATATTCTGTAGGTACTTTAGATTATTAAACTATCATGATTGATTAACTTTTACAGTTGCCATAAGCTTGCCAGGTGTTTCCAAGAAGACTGAGAAACTCTGCTCCACAAACTATCAATTTAAATATTAAATAGCACAGTGAAAATGAGAAACAGAGGATTTGGTCAATTTTTTGCCATATAAAACACTACACTTAGTTTAGGCATGTACCTGTCTTCAAGCTTTATTAGTTAGTACTATACTTTTTAAAAAAAACCCTGAGTATAGCCACTGAAGTTGGAAAGTTAATGTTTGTATCTTGTAGTCAAAAGTTCCATGTAAATTAAAAGCACGTTAACTAGTGCCAAACTATGAACAGTGAAAGTATTTGAAATTTTACAAATAAAAAAAAAGACAGTTGTAAATCAACTTGAGGTCTCTTTGACTTAATTTGTAAGTGGAATTGATTATCATGGTTTAAAACTATCTTTAAGCATGAACTTTCACGTCACCATTTTCAGGAATCTGACAGCATTTTGAGCATTTACAGTATAACTTAAGATATGAACACCTTGGGAATGGAGGTTTTGTAACTGAAATGTTCATAACTATGAACAAAATCTTTAGTTCTTTGAAAAGTTTACAGCTAAACATTGACAATAAAGCTTAGAAATTTTACTGTGCAGAAGAAAAAAGCTACTTTCCCTTTACTTTTTAGTGGTTCATTTAAACCATTACTGCATTTGCTGCTTTTTGTGTGTCTGCCTCTGCTACTGCCGGACAGCTTGCTGCTGGTTACAAATGAGACTGCCACGTGGGTATTCATAACTCTGAGGTTCTGCTGTACTTATACTATGTCTCAGCTATGGAAGGTGTCTTTTCTTAAATGATTCTGTTTACTTCACAGGGAGACCTCAAAAACAAAGTAGTTATAGAAGAGAAAGAATCAGCAGCAGCAGCAGCAGCAGCAGCAGGCTTGTTTCCCAAAGGAATTCCAGATTTCTGGTTTACAATCTTTAGAAATGTAGATATGTTAAGTGAATTAGTACAGGTAAGCTAATTCCCTTTGAAAAAGTTAATTTTTATGCAACAGTTAGAAGCTATACCTATTTTTTTCCCCCAGTTATACTTGAGGAAGATGTGAGTAACAGAGCGTGCAGTTCTTGAGAATCCTTTACGTTATTTTTGTTGAATAAAACACTTAAAGATAATCTGTAGTTTGCTTGTTACGAAGTGAAAGTTTCTGATGACTAATATCTAAGCTATTTGGGAACTAGTATTGCAATTAATTGTGCATCCATTAGAGCATATGCTCACATTCTACTCACAGAACAATTATTCCCATGCAGTTTTCCCACAATATTTCGTACAGATTTAGGTATTTTTATAATTTAATGACATCTTGAGGAAGTACTTAAACTGACTATACCTGTGTTAGACTGGACTTGTATATTAGCTATATTTTGTTGCATTCTTCCCTTATACAATTTAATCTATTAACTCTGTTAATATTTTGGAATAATCCCCTTAAAACTAGTCCTTTTCGTGCATCTGTCATGTTGTGCCTCTGTTTAAGAATTGGTAATTGGAGCATTCTTCTCCCAAGAAGTTAAACCTTCAGTTACATGGTACCCCAGAAAATGGCAACTTTAACTTTCAAAGATAAGATGACAGATTTCAACAACTGAAAATTTGGCAAATGACAGTTTTTTAAAGTGATTTAAGAGTACTAGGATCTGAATTTGAAACTAGGGATGTTAGCGACTAGTCGACTATTCAGTAAGCAAATTCTTATTGGGTAGCTGAGTAGCCACTTGCTCTGTCAGAGAGGCAGCAAGGGGGGGAGGATCAAGAGGTGGTGCTGAGCAAAACCAGCTTTAAGCCAGTGCCCCCCAGCACCGTCTCCAAGGGGGCTGGGGTGGCAGAGGTGCAGCGGGGAAACAACATGAATGGAGACTGCTTCAGTCCCTGCTGGTGCCGGTTCCCACTGCCAGCGCTTCTGCTTTTGAAATGTACAAGAGCATGGGGTGAACACAGTCTCCACTTAAAAACTGGTTCCCTCCAGCACCGTCTCTGGGCCAACCCTGGCCACCACGAACAGGGGCTGCTGCACTCAGTGCGAGCTGGAATTGAGTAGTCCCAGCTTGCGCTGATTGCTGTGCCTCTGCATTCTAAATGTAGTATGATCCCAGTGGTTCTTTACATTTAAAATACAGAGCAGCAGTGTGGGTGGCTCCAGAGCTGGCTCCTGGAGCTACCTCCACTGCAGCCCTGAACAGCAGTGCTTATTGATTAAACAAATTGTATCAACTGTACTATTAGCCAGATAATCGCATTTTAACGTCCTTATTTCAAACACATTACAAACTTGTGATTAAAATTATTAGGTTATGCATAGCTCACTGCTCTGAAGTGAGCAAGTTTAGATAAAAATTTGCTTTTCAAAATGGTGACTACTCATACTTTTTTCCTATCTGATTAGGAATATGATGAGCCAATTTTAAAACATCTGCAGGATATTAAAGTGAAATTTTCTGAACCTGGACAGCCTATGGTAAGTACTGTTAAGATTTTTATAGCCTGCAGTAGTGATGGGCAGCACTTCAATATGTTTTTGATTCCTCCCTGTTTTACAGCTATCAGTGTTAAGATATGATGGGGTGTACTGTTCTGAGCAAAGATTCTTAGTTTCAGGTTTTAAGAATAGATTTTTAGTACAGGTAGTTTTTTTTTCCTCCTGTACCTTCTTGTATTCTAACTAATCTTTTTAATCCTCACTCTTAACTGTATCTCTGCTCTACTTCCTTTTGTTCCCTTCCTTTAATTAGGCTTAAAAAATGAACTAGTTTTTTGTATTGAAAAATAGAAATAGCTACTTATGCCATGTTTAATACTGACAAATTAGTGATAAAAAAGAATCATTCACTACTCTCACCTAGACCTCACTTCCCTCCTATACCCCACTTCCTGCCCAGATCCTTACCCCGATCCTTATCCCACTTCCTGGTAGCCCCTTCCCACACACTGAGTCCTTCATTTTTGGTCCCACCTTATAGCCCACAGGGGCCCACAAAAATCTGTTAACCCCGGGATCCTTGAAAAGTTAATCTGGCCTGTGGGAAGCCCTGTACCTTGGTCCTCCCTGTGCCATCTCATCCTCTGTGGAATTGGAGTGCTAGGTAAGTGAGATGTCTCAGTTGGGGGCCACCAGTGAAGGCTCAGGTTTCTTTTGTTTTTTGCTTTTCAATTTAATGTGGCCCTGATTGGTGTGTCGAGCCACTGACACACAGAAATATCAAAGGTTCCTCACCCTTGCCATAAATAAAGAGAATGTTAAAGCCTTTTTTATTCAGAATGAAGTTTGGTAAACTAACAAGATAAAGTAAAAGTGCTTAATCTGTTTAATGATTTTGATTAATTCCTTTTCTGCCACTTATATACACCCCCCCTTATGTTATTACTGTTTGTTTGTTTTTATGTACCAGTAGCCTAATGTGAATAATTTAATAGTTAAGGTATTTTAGAGATAAGCAAAGGCATTTTGTCATCATGAGTGGCTCCAGCTGGTGGTCCGCAGAAAGGTTTGCATTGAATGGCATGGACTGTGGGCCAAAAAGTTTGAAAACCATTGTTTTAAAGGGTTCTCATCTGTTTATCCAAATGAAACTTCTTAAAGTATAGTTCAGAGTAGGGATGTGAACTGGTAATGAGTTACTAGGGAATAGCTCTCCACCAGCAGTGTGAGCTGTAAATTGCAGGGGGGAGGGCAGGGACTACCAGCATGGGGGTCGAAAGCAGCCTGGTTGGAATGCCCTCCCCTCCTGGCCCTGTTTAATCAGTTAATTGAGTTAAACCTAAAATTTAACTGGTTAAATAATTAAACGGGATTTTACATCCCTAGTTGAGAGAATGCTAATAAAAACCATTCTGTTCTACAAATAATGTCATACTTCCACTTAGCCTAGTTGGGGGCCACACAAGTGAGAAGTGCAAAAAAAATCCAAACTCTCACTGACATGGCAGAGGAGAAAGACATTCCCTTCCCATACTACAGCCAAGAGAGGGCCCAGCCTAGTAGACTTTTGTGTGCTCCAGCCCCGCAGCAGGGAGGGGGAGCTTGGAGCACCAGCGCAGGCTGCCCACTGCTGGGGTGGGGAGCCTGAGCCTCAGGGGCCAGATCCTGGGAAGCCAGGGGCCAGATGCAGTCTCTGGGCCTGATATTCCCCACTCCTGGTTTAAAGTATTCTAAACAAAATTGCAGTAATACTGTGGTTTTCAGGTCAGAATTTAACAATGGATTTCTTTTCTTGCTTTTTGCACTGTTCGTAACCTGTTGACAGTATCTTCCTGGTAATGGGTTCCATTCCAGTGCTACATTAAATCCAATAATAGAAGACTGACAAATTATGTCTCTTCTAGATTTGGGAACAAACTTCATGAAAAGACACTGAAACGCTTACCCATTTTCTAGGAAAATTGTTCTCTGGGCTATTAGTGATTTTTCTGAAAAAATGACTCTCCCGTTTGTAATAACAGCATTGTATGTGTAACTTCAGTACTTGCACTCTCTCTTTTTGTCTTTTGTTTAAGTACTTACTGCCTAATTATGTTCTGAATTACCATGTTCTAATAAAACAGTTTGCTTCAGAGGCATAGCTGCAAATTAATAAATTAATGGAATTGCATGGAATATTAGTTTGTAATCAAATATGACTATAGCATCGTTGCTTATGTTCAAGAAGGACTGGTTTAAAGGAATATAATCAAATCTTGATACTTGAGGGGTCATGTTCATATTGTAATTTGCTCTGTTCAGTTTTTCAAATATGTTCAATACATCTTGCCCATAAATAACATCCATAAATCTTAATCTTCAGTACTTAGCAGAATTAGTCACAGTTTGTAGGAGAGATGGTCTTCCAGTCTTAGGGTACGTCTACACTACAACGTTAATTCGAACTAACTTAGTTCGAATTAGTTAATTCGAACTAAGCTAATTCGAACTAACGGATCTAGACTAAAAAACTAGTTAGAATTAGCAGAATTAGTCACAGTTTGTAGGAGAGATGGTCTTCCAGTCTTAGGGTACGTCTACACTACAACGTTAATTCGAACTAACTTAGTTCGAATTAGTTAATTCGAACTAAGCTAATTCGAACTAACGGATCTAGACTAAAAAACTAGTTAGAATTAGCAGAATTAGTCACAGTTTGTAGGAGAGATGGTCTTCCAGTCTTAGGGTACGTCTACACTACAACGTTAATTCGAACTAACTTAGTTCGAATTAGTTAATTCGAACTAAGCTAATTCGAACTAACGGATCTAGACTAAAAAACTAGTTAGAATTAGCAGAATTAGTCACAGTTTGTAGGAGAGATGGTCTTCCAGTCTTAGGGTACGTCTACACTACAACGTTAATTCGAACTAACTTAGTTCGAATTAGTTAATTCGAACTAAGCTAATTCGAACTAACGGATCTAGACTAAAAAACTAGTTAGAATTAGCAGAATTAGTCACAGTTTGTAGGAGAGATGGTCTTCCAGTCTTAGGGTACGTCTACACTACAACGTTAATTCGAACTAACTTAGTTCGAATTAGTTAATTCGAACTAAGCTAATTCGAACTAACGGATCTAGACTAAAAAACTAGTTAGAATTAGCAGAATTAGTCACAGTTTGTAGGAGAGATGGTCTTCCAGTCTTAGGGTACGTCTACACTACAACGTTAATTCGAACTAACTTAGTTCGAATTAGTTAATTCGAACTAAGCTAATTCGAACTAACGGATCTAGACTAAAAAACTAGTTAGAATTAGCAGAATTAGTCACAGTTTGTAGGAGAGATGGTCTTCCAGTCTTAGGGTACGTCTACACTACAACGTTAATTCGAACTAACTTAGTTCGAATTAGTTAATTCGAACTAAGCTAATTCGAACTAACGGATCTAGACTAAAAAACTAGTTAGAATTAGCAGAATTAGTCACAGTTTGTAGGAGAGATGGTCTTCCAGTCTTAGGGTACGTCTACACTACAACGTTAGTTCGAATTAGCTTAGTTCGAATTAACTAATTCGAACTAAGTTAGTTCGAATTAACGGATCTAGACTAAAAAACTAGTTAGAATTAGTGTTTTGCTAATTCGAACTAGCATGTCCACATTAAGTGGACCCTCAACCGGGCTTAAGGATGTCCGGAAGCAGTGCCGGCAGGGCATCAGAGGAGGACTTAGAGCGTGGAGATGCTGTCTCAGGCTAGCCGAGGGCTGTGCTTAAAGGGTCCCGACCC